CGCGCGGGGGGCAGAGCAGTGCAGAGAGCGCACGGTGCGTGAAGACAGAGATGCACGGCCCCCCGAGCGCGAGGAGGAGCATCTGGACGTTGTCGGCGTCGGTCGAGAGGCAGTCGGCGCCCCACTTCTCGATGACAGTGGCGGGGTCGAACGCGTCGGGCGGGAAGGGCACGATGCCGCCCAGCACCATCCCAGGCTCGAAGCCGTCGGCGCCACCGACCGAGAAGACCTGCAGCAGGGCAGAGGCGGGAGCCGCCGGTTGGGGTGACGCGTGCGAGTCTGTGTCGGACTGAGGTGGCCGTCCCGTCGCGTTGTTGCTTGGGCGTGGATAGGGGTCCCACATAGCTTTGAATAAGGTTGCTTACTACTAGTGCTCGCCTTGTACGTGAACGAGACGACCACGCCGAAGTTGCCGCCCCCGCCGCGGAGCGCCCAGTACAGGTCTGGCGAGCTCTCCGCGGACGCCGTCACCAGCGAGCCGTCTGCGAGCACCACCTGTGTGCGCATCCGTTTACCCGTCTGGACTGTCTCTCTGTAACTCTGTCCGTCTGCCTGCCTGTCTGTGCGTCACCTCCGCGGAGACGAGGTTGTCCACGGCGAGGCCGACACGCGGCGTGAGCCAGCCGATCCCGCCGCCGAGGGTGAGCCCACCGATGCCGGTGTCGGGGTGCGTGCCGAGCGGCACCGCGAAGTTGTGCGGCTGTAGTGCCGCGTCCACCTCGCCGATCTTTGCGCCGCCCCCGGCTGTGACTGTCATGGCCGCCGGGTCGACGAACACGTGGTTCATCTTCCGCAGGTGGATGAGGAACGCGCCGTCGGGCATGCACCTGTATGACGCCGGGAAATGTCGTGTGTATGATGTCGGGAAATATCGTTGTATCATGTATGTCGACTGAAGGGTCGGAGGTGGGGTGTTTGGAGTGCTGTTTGTCGAGTGCGGGAAGCGGGCGGCGTTACATGGGCGAGTGGCCTCCGCTCAGAACGGCGATGTTCTTCTTCCCGATGGCGGCGGTCTTGACGAGGGCCTGCACCTCGGCCACCGAGGTGGGCATCGCGATAACGCTCGGCCAGTTCTTGCAGGCCTTGTTCCAGCAGTCCTCGCGGGCGCTGAGATACGCCGCGGGATCGGCGTCGTGCGGCGTAAAGGCGGCACAGGGCAATGTATCGACAGCGCCCTTGGCGGCGGTCCCCAACACCGCCTCCGGGACAACTTTCAGCGCGCTGTCGCGCGGACCCATGAGCGGAAAAGCAGGCATGCTGAGGAAAGAGTGTCGCAGTGGTGTCCTGTGCGCGTGTGGTGATTGCTCTCCGGCGGTAAAGGCCGAGATCAAACAGAATTTTACTTTTAACACAAAAACAACAAACGGACCCAAGACGCACAAGCTCAGACAGTCGAGAAAGGGATGACCGCAACGACAGTCAGAATCAACTTTGGGTCCCAGGGCGAATGCGATGACTGCCTCTAGCTCCTTTTAACAACATCTGCAGCAGCGGTGCTGAATTCTCCTTGATTCACCATTTGCAAATAAAGAAACTTCCGCGCCGCCGCCACTCTCGAATCCGGCCTGGGTGCGCAACCGTCAGTTTGTCAAAAGGCAGGAGGCGGAAGGCCGCCTGCGCGCGCGCCAAACCTTCTCGCCGCCGGAGAGAGCCGCCAGTGGCGCCGCCAGCACATGTCGCTGCACGACGAGGGCACGCCGAGCGTGATCTATCACGTCGTCCAAAAGTCGCTGTGGGACGCTGCGCTGGCCTCCGGCGTCAACTACTTTCCGCCACGCTACGACATCGAGGGCTTCATTCATGCGACCCACGAAGCAAACCTGCTGCTCGGCGTGCTCAACTGGCGGCACCCGAAACACGGCTTCATCTACAAACACATAGAGGGCACGTTTCTGTGCCTCGCAATCGACACCGCGGTGCTCACGTCGCCCGTCAAGATGGAGGCGGCCGTTCCGACGGAGAGCAATCCGAACCCGATTGCGTTCCCGCACATCTTTGGGCCCATTCTTCCTCTGAGCTGCGTGACCAGACAGATGGAGGTTGTGCGGGACCCGCAGGACGGCACGTTCCTGTCCATCGAGGGTATCTGCGAGTAGTCCACTGGGTAGGACGGGTGTCGGCCCGGAGTATCAGCGTAGCCGTCGTGTGGTCGCGGCGAGCAGCGCCGGCCACTCCGGCGCCGCGGTCTGCGGCGATTACAGCGCTCCCCAGGGCCCAGGCTGGTTCCATTTCACTGTGGCACAGCTCGCGTTACAAAACCTTGATTTTGACAAATTGCGCACTATTGTCCCTCTCGGCGCCTTCCAGAGGCAGCTGCGTCCCCGCCGAGTGGACGGGGGCACTCGGCAGGTGGCGCGGTGTGCGCCCGTCCACTCGGCGGGGTGTCGCAGCTGCCTCTGCGCGAGCTGCCTCTGCGCGTCCTGGGGAGGGACAATAGTGTCGCCGCCGAAGGCGACTCGTCACTCGACGCCGCTGAGATCGGAGATCAAGCTCTGACAGGTCGCACGTCGCTCCTTTGGCGCCGACGTGATTCGCCCGTGCAGATCACATCAGGACACGGTCTCGACGCGCTCGGTACGACGCCTGCGACCCGTCTCGGGTCAGGTGCGCTCAGGTGGCACGACGCTCATATCGCCTGCCAGCGGCAGCGCTGCCGTGCAAGTTGCCACGACGAGGTCGAGCACGCTTCTATACGCTCGCCCAGCCTTCCTTTCCATCCCATTAGGCAGCCTGGGAACTGTGGCGGTCAGAGGCAAAGCCTACGAGGGGTGGTGGAACCACATGTCACGGCTACTGCCGGCTCGACCCCACGATAGCCTCCGAAGGATGACTTTGAGGCACAATCATCGGACGACGTCGGCGAGTTGAGTCGCGCTCGCGGTAGCCAGATGACCTCTCATACTAGTGTCATCGGCCATGGCCCAGGGAGCGCGGGGCAGGGCACTGGGATCAGCACGGAGCTCCGTTGGACGTTTTCAAGATTAGCGTATGTCAGAGTGAATTCACTGAACTAGCCCCAGAGAGGTACCGCATGTAGCGCGCGAGCTGCTCTGGGGGGAGGCGGGGCCCCTAGAGGGTACCCATGCGGGGGGGAGATGG